ACCAAAAAAAAAAAAAGCTTAAAGTTCTCTGCAGCAACTGGAAAAACATAATAAGCTGAGACAAATTTGGAAGTCCTCAATTTATTCCAGTGGCATTTCAGCCACTTTCTAGGCCAAAACCAAACCTCCCACAAAAGCATCCCCCGAAGGATGAGCCTCAGAGCAATCTCCTCCAAGAGACCAGCATCCACAAACTAAATTCTCCAGATGCAGCAAGACTGTTGCAGAATATTTACAATTGATCTACAGCCTGTGTTTTCTGTCATTTCTATAGTTTTGTCCATACTGGGTCATCAATATGTCCTCTGAGCCAGAAAGGTTTCTTTACTCTCGTCTGCATGTGATTAATAATAGTCTCTACATTTGAAGTTTAAAATGGTATATAGGAAGCATACTTTTAATCCTGATTGTCTCCACTAACATACACATTTAGTATATATTTTGATATATGATTTTCTTAAATATAGTCATATTTAACTTAGATTTTATGTACAAGAAAGAGGCAGGCAGGCAGGCAGACGCACCCCAGCCTCCACCTGCCTGAGGATGATTGCGGCACCAGCACAACCTTTTTTCTCCCTGCTGTGCTCTTCCTGCCTGGACACCTTTATCCCTCATGCCACTGAACAGCAAATACCCCATTTAAAAATATCTACAAAGAGCTGAATAAGAGCTGTTCTATCCTGAGATCAAGCTGCACCCAACTTTTGCCTACATTATTTCTAAGTAACAGCAAATGGCTATAGGTCCAGGCTTCCCACCCACGTTACAGATTCTCAGGAGAGCCTTTCTGACCCCTAGCTCTACTATTCACAGCCTCCTGGAAGACATAACTTGGGTCTCTATCCAGCTACAAATAAAAATAGAATTACTGCTCTGATTTGTAAGAGGAAGACTAGGCTGGTATCTCAACTGACAGACTTCCAAAGACTGAAGAATTTATCGAAAGGTGAATAAATGAAAAAGTACATTGATAGATGACAACAATTTATACAAATTAAGAGCTACTATTCTAGGAATTTTATAGACAAATTTATAACAAATAATTCAGAAGATAAAAAGTTTTCACTAGTGAGAATCTACCACTTTTAGATAGACACACATATCCATGAGTACACGTGCCTGGCCCGAAATGACAACTGTAGCTGCAGAAACACTAAAGTTTTTATTTTCATTTGTCCCTTAGTTTGTAATTCTAGAATGTCCACAAATTATTAAGTATAGGTAGGAAAACATAGCCTAGGGCTGGGGAGATAGCTCAGTAGAATAAGTGCTTGCCTGGCAAGTGCAAAGTCCTGAGTTCAATCTCTAGTACTGGGGGAAAAAAAAAAAAATTGAAGCAGGGGAAATTCTAAGAATAAAAATGAGTAGAAAAAAGTAATCACATCCTAAACCACTTTTTGTCTTCCTTATTATACTGTCACTTTTTCTCCATCTCTCCTTATTTCTCTACGTTTTAGCCATACTGTTTCTTGCCGTCTCATGGAATGAGAAACCACTCAACAAAGAAACTACTATCCTGGAGAAACACTGGCCAGTGTGGATCCCTTTTGTCTTGTCTACAGGTAAGAATCTAAACTTTTTCCTAGCATGTTTGAATGTAAGAACAATACTGTGTGGCAGACACGATTCCAAGTCAGACCAGCAATGAGATCTGCCCTGCAGTTCCCCAAGCACAGAAAGATAAGGTGGGGCTGGGCGTGGTGGCATGGCCTGCAATCCTGGCACTCAGGGAAACAGAGGCAGGAGGGCCACAACTCTTGAGCCCAGCCTGGGAAACTTAATGAGACCCTATTTTAAAATAAAAAAATTAAAAGGCCTTGGGATGAAGATCCCAGGTTCCATCTCTAGTAATGTTAAAAAAAAAAAAAAGCTAAGATCACAGAAACTCTGTCTGACTCTGGGGGGCTGAGAGAAGCAACAAGCAACACCCCACAAACACCTCTGGTAGGGGAGTAAGCATAGGTGAGCAGAGGGGACGGGTCACTGTGTACTCCTTCTCCAGGAAGAGCCCACACTGCAGCAGAGCATCCGAGCAAACAGGCAAGAGAGGCTCCCCCCACCTCTGGAGCTGTCAGAGCCTAATTCCCCTTGGAGAATCCACTGCTTGCCTAATTCTCTGCTCTCTGCCCTTTGTCCCGTTCCTTTATTCTTTTGTCTCCTTTGAGAGTCTACCCTGAAACCCTACCCCATGATCTAAAATGTGCTCCCTTGGAAATTCTGGGCAATCGGAGCACCCACTGGGGAGTGCTTCCATCCAGCCGCCTGAAACCACCTTCGTGGCCTACAGCTCTGCTCCTCACACAGCCCTAGCCGCACCATGCAGGCATAGACCACACACTCTGTGCTTTTCATGTGTTCATAATGCATCCTGTCCTCACCAAGCCTCACAGCAGAGGCACTACCATGGGCCTTACACACATGCACAGTGTGATTTTAACTTGCCCAACTCAATTTGGGAAATAATAAAGTGAGGGTGCAAGTTCAGGGACCCTGGCTCCTCAGTCTGTGACCCTCACCATATACACTACTTCGCAGACTTCTTGCAGTGTCCACTAGTGAATACAGACCACTTAACTTCAGAGAAGCGCACAAGTCAGATTCCCTAATGAAGCAGACACAATGACCCTGAAATTAAAAGGACAAGAATCCTTTCTAAGGGGACACAGCTGCAATGTGGCCCAAAAACCTGGGTTAAGAAGCATGGGTCCTCGCACCAACTATCTCCCAGCTGTACTTAGCCCAGAGCAAAGCCTTTCAGGTGAGGAGGAGGTCTTTTTAGTGCAATTTTTTTCTTTTTAATTTTAAAGTAAAACATACTTGGGAAAACATCACAGAGCAAAAGAAGCAGAAGGGTTGTTTTCCTGGAAGCAGGGCTGGCAGCAGCGGTAGGGCTCCAGCCCCGGGACGCTTTCCCACCTACCTGGGCGTAAGTGCCACTGCAGACCACTGCGTTCCACTTGGTGACATCGGTACAGCTCGGATGGCGGATCAGGTAGTTGTCCATTCGGCCCACATAAGCATCCTTGTATCCTGTCACAGAGCCGTCCACGTCATGGAATATGGAATTCTTATCACCGTCCAGCTCACAATCTTCAAACCAGGGACCAGGCTTTCCAAAGAAGACATTCAGAGAGACCTGCCAGTGCAAACCAAGGATAGCACCAAGTGAGGACTACTGCCACCTTTGCGTCGCCTGCTGTCCCAACTGCGTGTCCACCACAATCGCTTTATGTCAGTTACAGTCCACTGTTGTCAAGTGTGACAACTAACTAGTTTTCTACTCAATTAATGGAATGCTTGAAGGGGGAAAAACAGTAAAGCTGAGGAGATCTGGCTGCGTACGGTGGCTCACACCTATCATCCCAGCACTCAGGAGGCTGAGGCAGGAGGACTACTGGGAGCTTGAGGCCAGCTTGGGCTACAAAGTGACTAGCTTGAGCTGCATGGTGAGAGCCTGCCTCAAAAAAGACAAAAGGAAAAAAAAAAAAAAGAGCTCCATTTTTTCCACTTAAAAACAATTCCCAGTCCATCACTACCTTAAAAAGCTTTAGGCTGGATAAATCACTGGACTGAAACTTGAAGAGTTCGCCTATGCCGCTAGAAGGGTAGGACTTCTGCAATATTCAGCAAACTGCTTTTCAGTGTGACCATGTCAGTGATCATTAAACTCTTTGCTCAGAGGTCCATGGGCGGTAATTGCATAGCCAGCCTCCGTGCTGATAAGGTGACCCAAGACCCGTCCGAAACAGCTAGGGATGTAGCTCAGCATCCAGGCTAGCGCCTTTGTGTGAAGTCCGGGGTTCAACCTCTAGCACTGAAAAGAAACCAAAGCACTGCCCTATTCATTTATGTAGGAAGCCATCTACTGTCTAGTTCTACCTTACTTACGCAGCCCAAAAGAGAACCAACCAATATGACATGCCCATGTGTACCTGCGCCTCGGCTCCACTCCTCAGCTCTTCTAGAAAAATCACATACATGCTTGTCCTCAACTGGGTAACACCAGCACTCATATTTAGATGTGAACAAAAGACTGAGGCGCTGTTTCCCTGCTGTGGCTTTCTGTGGGAGCAGGGCAGCAGGAGCCTGAGCAACCTCTCTCTCCCACCACTGCTGTCATCGAGGAGTGGGGAGATGGCTGCAGCCTACAGGGACACCATCGGATTGCTCCGAGCGTTATAAGGAAATGGCGTGGTGTAACTGCTCAGAAAACTGCTCCTGCTCGCAACTGTGACTAAGACATCCAAACAGACCTTTAAAATCCCAGAGTGTCTAAGTTTCCTCATGTTGTCACGGATGGCATCTGTCACACACATCCACACCCAGTTGTGACAATAACAGGTATCCAACACTTGGCGGTCCTCTGGGCTGAAGCTTTACTAAATCTACACAAGG